GATAGATTTCTGTACTTGTGATTGTAGTGTAGTTCCTGAGTATTGTACATGAACTTTTGAGATATGAATCGACTTGTTATTGATGTTTTTAATTTATAGATTTTTGTTTAGACGGTGATCAATTGGAGAATTGTAGGTAACTCTGGTAAATGGCTGGTTAATTGACATTCTTTCCAAGTTAGATCTCGGGGCATGACAACTAGTAATCAAGTTTTTCAAATTAGGCATAAGTTGATCCTTGTGGGAACTATATTCTACTCATAATTTTATTACTTTATTGCGATACGTACACTTACGTTAAATCATAAATCAAACTAATGAAAAATATTATGAGTATTTATTTAAACTATATGATGAATGGATCATAGACATTGTTATTGTTTTTAAATGGAAGTATGACAAATATAATATGGCGATGCCAAAGAAGATGATGACTACTCTAAAATCAAGCATAAGTGCTTCACTATCTCGATGAAGTGAAGATAGCCCAAAAGCGAAGATAGATAAATTGTATAAAAATCACCTTTTTCACAACAATTCATACATAGATCTTTTGTCCATGGTGTCCAAGTTAGAAAGAGCCAAAGCTGAATGTATTAAGATTCAAGTTCAAAATCAACAAACACGGAAGGAATTAGGATGGTGCCAGAGCTAAATAGAAACAAGTATGGGTGTCAAAATAAGTTAATAGGTTGGATTTAAGATTTGACCCAACTTTAATCTGATTAGTTCGAACCTGACTCATTTAATAATATTGGGTCAAAAAGATAGATTCAAACCAAATCTGATAACCCGTTTAAAATAATAAAATATTTTTTTTTATTTACTTTCTAACTAAGATTTTAAGTTATTTGATTAAAAATAAAATGATTATAGCAATAAATAAAGGAATTTAATTTTAAAAAAATATTAAAATGGGTCATTTTTTAGTTGGATTTGTGAGTCAACTCGAACCTGACCCGTTTAATAAATGGATTGAAATGTTATTTATTAAATGAGTCAACATGAATCTAAATTTTTTGGTTTGAATCGATCGGTGGGGTTATCAATTAACACTCATGGAAACAAGTTCCGATTAAATTTTGAGATCAATGATCAAAGAAAGACTAACGATGAAGGAAGAGCAAAAAACAAATCATAATTGTTTGGAATCAATATTCAAAGAAAGAATCATGATAAAAAATATTGGAAAAAGATAATTGAGGGAGCAAGAATCATAGTGGACACTAACGTAATTGAGGGAGAGTGAGCTGCGATGGATACTCAGAGCATCTCCAACCGAACACCAAATGAGCGTATGGTGTCGTTCAGTCGCTCCAGCCGAACGCCAAATCTTCCGCCATTTACTTGCACTGTTCACCCATGCTATTTTGCTCTCTCAACCGGAAAAACACGCGAAAGGGAGAAGGATCGTTGCCTTCGCAAACGCACAAAAATGGCGTTCGATAGGAGCAGCACCACGGCATTTTGAAATTTTGCGGTATTTTGCCATGAAAAATAGAGTTCTCCGTTGGAGATGCCCTCACGCCCTACATGGAGTCAAAAGTCGTGTCTTGCCTTGATTTTAAATATAGTAATTGGGATGAGAGTATTTTAATCAGAATGTTAAAATTATTTTATGTATACTATAAACATGTCAAATTTATTTTTAGTATTTTAAAATTAAAATATATTTTAAAAAATAAAATAATATACAATGAAATTTTATTACTTTTTAAAGTAGCAAAGAAAATAAAAAAAAAATCCAAAAGCCTAATTTACCACTCTATCGGATTCCACTTCCTTTCAATTAGTACAACGATTAGTAAACGAAATTACCCCGAAGCATCATAACTCCTACTCTCCCTATCTCCATTTGCTGCTCCATAGCATCTCCAATCGTACAAACAAACAGAACAGAGCTCACCTGCAACATATTTCACTCGCCACAAATTCGTACCCTAAAAAAGAACTCGCAATCCCTATATAACTCACATTCCTTGATGCATATCGTCATTCCAGTCCGAATCAGGAAAAAAATGGAATCCGACCGCCGCTACCTCCTCTTCCTGTTCCTCCTATCCCTCGCCTTCCCCTCCACATCAAAAATTCCACGTACTTCAGAAAATGACTACAGCTTCGACACCTCACCGCCACCGGCGGCGCCGCCCCCGCCGACTGTCCAACCAAACACCACCCTCGAATACATGGACCCTACTATGCCTCCTCTCCTTCCCGCCCAAAACCCCCAATGCTCCCTCCAAATCCTCCAACGTGATTTCGCCGCCACCGCCGCTTCTAGTTCTCCTCCTGCATTCTTCAGCTACACTCCGCCGGCCAACTGCCCTTCCCCTTGGTCCCGCGTCATCCTCGAACTCTCCGCCGCCGCATCTGACATACAAAAGGACCGAATCGCCGCCATCTGGATCGCTGGCGCCGAAATTCTCCGCACCTCTACCCCGTTTTCCTTATCCCCTGGCGTTTTCTGGCGAGTCCGGAAAGACATTACCCGCTACACCGCCCTCCTCCGCCGTCCCACCCGCTTCTCTATCATGCTGGAAAACAACCCCAACGCTACACTCACCGGAATCTACTCCGTTAACGTCTCCCTCCACTTCTACCGCGGCGCAGTGAATCGCCTGAACTCCCACCCCATCATTCGCGGTTTGTATCGTGAACCGGCCGATCTCATCATCCCCATCTCTAACCCGACTGGCCCGGATTGCTGGTTCCGGGTTACCAACGAAACCGACGTCCGAACCCGTACGGTCCTTATCCCCAACAACACATACCGAGCTGTTTTAGAAGTCTATGTCTCGAACCACGGCGACGACCAGTATTGGTACGCGAACCCCCTCCGGTCAAACGATGTCGGGGTCGCCGGAACCGACGGTCTAGCGTCGAGAAAACCGAATGGCGGGTTCCGGCAAGTGGTGGCTACAGTCGACGGACGATACGTTGGGTCCGCGGTGCCGTTCCCCGTAATCTCGCCGGGGTCGGTGAATCCTTTCTTCTGGGCTCCAGTGGCGGCCATCGGCGCATACGACCACCCTTCCTATGACCTCGAACTGACTCCCTTTGTCGGGAATCTTCTCGACGGGAAGCCCCATGAGTTCGGTTTAACGGTGAAGGAAAGCCAGCCGTATTGGCTGGTGGATGCGAATCTCCATTTATGGCTCGACGCCTGGTCAGACGCGGTGGAGGGCGGGCTGGTTCGGTACAAGGTGCCGCCTTTGCATCTCGGCCGGCAAGCGGATTGGAAAAACGCAGATGGGAAGTCGGAAATGGAAGGGCAAGTGATAATCCGTTTCTCCGGGTGGGTGAGTTCGTCGGCGGGGAATGTGACGACGAGTGTTCGGCATAAGTTCAAGTTTAAGAGCCATGTGGAGGTGGAGGAGAAAGGGGAGATGAAGAGCGTGGATATGGAGACTAAGGCGAGAACGAATTTGAGGATTGAGAAGGATCACGTGGTGATTGGAAGAGTGGTGGTGGAAACAGAGGCGCCGTTAAATCTGGTGACTCACAGTTCGAATGGGGGAGGAGGGACAAGGATACGGAAAACGAAGCTTTTTCATGAGATGATGGAGTCGAGAAGCGCGACCGAGGGGAAGACAGAGGATTGGTTCAATACAATAACGGATCGGCAGGAGTCGGAAGGGTCGGTTCTGATTGGGGAGGATGGAGATGTGGTGTGGGGGAGTGGGGATACGAAGTCGATTTATAAGTTTAGGGATGATAAAAAGTGTTATTTGAGGACTGTTAATATGGTGGGAGGGAAGTTGGAGGAAGATGAAGAGAGTTCTTCATGCGCCGCCGCTGCTCTTTCGGGGGCAATGGAATCTTAGCTATCCGATAATGATGTTGTAAAGGTGGCGATTTTATGGAAGTATGACGGTGAGGGGATCGGTGGTTGCAGGAGTATTTAAGGCTAGGGATGAATTTGTGTGGGAGTCGCCATATCGTCTCAATTTGATGTTGAATCAATTTAATAAGAACTGGATGATTTGGCATTATAGATTTTTTTTAAAGATGATTTCAAAGCAAAATATTTTTTTAAGGGAGATTATTATTAATTTTGATCTATTTGAGTAAAAATTATGCTCATTTTTTTCTAATTTACGGAGTTAATAGAAAAATGAGTTATTATATGATTTTTTTTTTCAAGAATTATAATTGATTTGAAGTGTGGGATTTATTTAAAAAATGAGCATCAAGATACATTTAAGGTAAATTGTGTGAAGTTGCATCTCCTCATTATTGTGAATGTTGGGAAGTATATGATATAATGGAACAAGAAAGAAAAGAAAAAAATAGAAATAAACAATAGAGTTTAACGTAAAAAAATCCAAAATCTAGAAAAAAATTACAAATCCATACCAAACAACAAATTTCACAATGAAAATTAGGATAAATGTACAAATCTCTTTCTTTATCATCCTCTCCTTGTCTCACTTTACTCTTCATTCTCTTCACATAATAGACAAAAACACGTACTTAAATTGCAGAGGGACGCAACCCTTCATATTAAGCATGAAAAATCAGAAAGAAAAATTCCAGCTCGACTAGCAGTGTTGTGGCATCAAGGTTTGGATTGCCACGACACTCCACTCACCATCATCCCACCAATCACGACTATCAAACATTTAAGCGACTACTCAGGTACATTCAGGGAATGCAACATTATGGTCATCCTCTCGTTAACAGTGCTCTTCAACTCTGCATATATGTAGATGTGGGTTGGGCTGCAGACTCTATAGACCGAATATCCATCACAAGTTTCTGTACCTTTCTAGGGCATAATTTGGTATCTTAGTGTGTTAAAAAACATGTGAATGTTGCCAAATCCTCTACTGAAGTCAAATACAGTGCCCTCTCCTCAACTACATATGATGTCATCTGGTTCCTACTACTTGAAGTTGAATTTTAGGAACACCAAACCACCCCCACTCCAATTTATTTTGACAACGCCTCAGCCGTGCCACTTGCGAACAATCCAATCTTCCATGCTAGAACAAAACACATATAAATTGATTATCATTTCATCAGCAGCGACCACATCAAAGCAATTGAAATAACCCTTCACCTAAACTTAGTCGATCAACTAGCTGATCTCCTAACAAAACCATTGTCTGTCACGAGGTTTTATGAGTTCATGAACAAATTAATCATTTGACCATCGAATGCTTAATTTGCGGGGATTGTTAGCACACACGGACATTATGTTGCAAGCTAACTTAAGCCTATCATGGACCATCTACATGAGCAAATGGTCACTGCTCAACTTCTCTGCAACTATATACTTCCATCAACGGCAACATTGTTATTCCCTAACCAACTTTTTTACCTTAAATCTATATATACACCTTCTCTATAATAAACAACATAGAAAAATATACATATGCTACAGTGATACAAAATAGTTTATATTATCTTTCTCTCCTCTGTTCTAATCTATGTGCAAGTTTCTCTTCATTCGGCACTCCACGATCTCCATCTTCAGCCTGACTTGCAGGGCCACTATACTGCATCTTATGATGATGCAGTGTATAAGTATACAATGTTGCATCGCTCTAATATATAGTGTCACAGTGATGTGCTGTTGCAATGAAAAAAAATTGGGACAAGGCCCCTAAACCTTAAGCAAGGGGAGGCTCCTCTACAACCCCTGTGAGCTCAATCAATAGAATTGATGTTTAAGTCAACAATACAATCCTATTAATCAATACAATTAGATTCCTCACATATCTAATAGTGAATGGAAGAATTTTTCTCGTTTTGGATGAGAGGTATTTGGTTGTTTAAGGTTTAAAAAATTGCTAGGTTTAAAAATATAATATCAAAGATATTATATGAGAAGGTAATTGTACATAAAATAAGATAACACAGAGAACAAAAAGATTTAAATTATTAGTCCTCAAATTTCTATATGCATCTCTCACTGAGATATGGGCAAATTGATAAGTCAGATGTCTGATTATCATTTCCTATCAAAAGGGCTTCACTGTTGCTATTAATAGTAGTATGCATCCCAAATTTAAAACTGAAGATGATTATATTTCTGGAAGCATTCCAAAGAATCTTCTCTTAGTTGAATTGTCATGATCATAAATGTTATAAGAATTTAAAGATTATGTTTTTTTAATCTCATTAAATAAAGCCATTAAAGATATCACTTTTCGACATGTTTGACAACATAGATAGAAACAAATTTAGGCTTCATTTAAAACAGCTTTCTTATTGCTTTGCTTTTTTGCTGTAATTATAATTTTTATTTGTCATTATTTTTAATAAATTTTTCTACTAGGAATCTGCTTTCTATAGTAGCTTTTAAAAAAACTATTTTATTCATACCAACTTTACAACTACCTTTATAAAAGATACAACCATCTCAAATAGACCATTAGGCTTCATTTAGGACAGTTTTTTCATTGCTTTGTAAAGCTGCTATAGAGAAACTAAATTCTTAAGTTTGTTATAAAAAGTAATATTTTAGTAGATTTTTTTTTGAAAATAGCAAAAAAAATTTGGCCAAATAGAAATTATAATTGCAGTCTAAAAAGCAAAGCATTAAGAAAGCTGTCACAAATGAAGCCTGTAATTGCTTTAGACCACTGATTTTTCCCTTCTTTTAAGAGATCTTTATAGTAAAAAGCAGCTTTACAAAATAGAAAAAAAATCATCCCAAATATAAACATGGACATTATACTGATTATTATTAATTTTGATCTACTAGAATAAAAATTATGCTCATTTTTTTCTAATTTATTGGAGTTAATAGAAAAATGAATTATTATATGATTTTTTTTTCACGAATTATAACTGATTTGAATTGTTGGATTTATTTAAAAAATGAGTATCAAGATACATTTAAGGTAAATTGTGTTTAGTTCCATATCGTTATTATTGTGAATGTTGGGAAGTAAATCATGCAACGGAACAAGCAAGAAAAGAGAAAACCAACAATAAACATCAGATTTTACTATAGAAAAACCCAAAATCGAGAAATAAATACAAATCCATCAAACCAAAAATTCCTCTATTAAAATTAGGATAAATTTACAAATCTCTTCTCTCACTCTCTTCTTGTATCACTTCACTCTTCGAGTTAAGCATCAAAAATAAGAAAGAAAAAAATAATAAATAAAAAAATGAAAAATAAGAAAGAAAATTGCCCTATCAGTGCCATGGTGTTGGGGTTTCGATTGTCGTGGCACTACTTACCATCATCCCACCAATCACGGCTATCAATCACTCAAGCGACTACTCAGGTATATTCAGGGAGCACAACATTATGGTCTTCCTCTTATCAACAGTGCTCTTCAACTCCGCACATATGCAGATGCGGAATGTGCTACATACTCTACATACCGAAAATCCGTCACATGTTTTTGTACCTTTCTGAGGAATAATTTGGTATCTTTGTATGTTAAAAAGTAGGTGATCGTTGTCAAATCCTCTACCAAAGCCAAATACAGGGCATCTTCTCAGCTTCATCAAGCTCCTCTAACTTGTAGCTGAATTTCTGGAACACCAAATCATCTCCGTTCAAATTTATTGTGACACTTGCAAACAATTCAGTCTTTCATACTAGAACAAAACACATATAAATTTATTATTATTTTATTAGCTACCACATTAAAGCTAATGAAATAACCATTCTCCACATAAACGCAGTCGATCAACAAATTGATCTCCTGACAAAACCATTGTCTGTCACCAGGTTTCATGAGCTCAGAAACAAATTAACCGTTCGACCATTAAATGCTTAATTTTTTTTTTTTTTGGGGGGGGGGGGAAAGGGGAAGGGGGGGGAAAACCCCCTGCCAAACCAAAATCATAATTTCTATTTAACTATTACTTTCTCATTGCTTTCAAAAAAAAAAATTGTGCTAGAAAACTAATTTTTACAACTTATATATATATATATTATTCATATCAACTTTACAACTACATTTATAAAAAAAAATAACCATCCCAAAAAGACCCTTAGGCTTCATTTAGGGAGGCTTTTTTATTGCTTTGTAAAACTGTTGTTGAGAAACTAAATTCTTAAATTTGTTATAAAAGTAACTTTTTAGTATAAATTAAAAAAAAATAGCAAAAATAAGTAATTAAATAGAAATTATTATTGCGGTCTAAAAAGCAAAAGCATTAAGAAAGCAGTCACAAACAAAATCTAAGATAGCTTTAGACCAATGCTTTTTTCCTTCTTTCAAGAGATTTTTATACTAAAAAATAGCTTTACAAAATAGAAAGAAAACAATCCCAAAGGTAGCCTTAATATATATTAGGTTGAAGCTTTTGATGGTGAATCAACAAAAAATGTCATTAATGCTTTCTTGGTAACCAATAAAACTAACATTTAGTTAGAAGTGTTTAAGAAATAATTATGTCTATTTCTACCACTTGGAGGGAAAAAAAGAATCTTGCTGAAGTACGTGATCCTAAAGCTATGAAAAATGCTTTTGATAAAGTCGGGTTTTTAGAGAATTCCTCGATGCCAAAACCTTCATGGAATTTTCAATTATTTTCATAAAGCTCGATATTTCTACTATCAAACTTCTTGTGGAGTTTGAAGACAAAAAAGTGAAAGTGAAGAAGAAGAGTTTTTATTATTGTATTACGTAAATCAGTAGAGAATATCACTCAATTATAGTATTTTAAGGAAAGATTGTCAGCTCATCATGCTGTACAGAAAGTTTGTCAGCTCATCATCTTGTACAGGTTAATTAATCTTCAACCAACGAAACAACAGTTTTACTTATCTTTTATATATATTATAATAAAAGCAATAGCAACTAACTATTACTCAATCACATATACATTTTATATATCTTATAATAAAAACAATAGCGACCAGCTATTGCTCAATCACAAATAGATTTTCTTTCTCAATGCTTATGTTAATAATATGCTTAAATAAAATACTTAATTTTTATATAATATAAACCATATAAAATTTAATAACATCTATTTTATCTAGTAAAATTCATAAATGTTGCAGTCAAAATCTCCAGAATAATCAGTTCGATATCATACAAAAAATTATGTGGTAAATGTTCAATAAAGATAAAAAAATACAATAAAACCAATTTTGAGGAGAAGTCAATGGTCAAAATCAAAATCTTTAAAAAGAGAGATATGATTAGAATCACATGTTTCAATCTAAACAATTTTTATAAAAGTGGCAAAGCTATCTGGAGACCAAAAATCAAAATTTCCTTTTCTCTCTCTTCCTTCCTAGAAAAAAAATTGTAATTGTTTAAAAGTAGTGATAAAATAATGCACTCTATGTTTAACGCCACACCGCTCCAGTTCAAACAAAAATTCATTTTTTTTTCTAATTTTTATTATTTTCAAAAATTGAAATTGTTGCACTCTATAACTTGTACCAGAGCAAAAGTGATTGGTATTATTTTAATTGTAATTATTACATCCTTAAATCTGAAAGCTATAATTTTTATCTTCTTTGTCTTAGTTTTCGTCAAGATGATGAAACCTCATAAAGAAGGAGATGAAACTATGTGAGACATCTTGATAATAAGGCCATCTAACCAATATATATAGATAAAGAACTTACGGGTAGAGTTATTGGAATTACTCCAAACGAATTCGATACGAATAGACATTTTATTGTCCTCCACTTCCTAAATTTGATTATTGGTAGCTAAATAAGATATTTTGGTGCCAATCTACATTGATAAATTGATTGTTGTAGTCATTTATATAAAATTAACTAATGATGAATCACTTTTGTTGGTGTTTAGGGATACTATTCTTAGACTCTATAAATAAAAATTTTCAAAAACTTAAAAAAAAAATCTAAAGTAAAAGAGAATGGACAACCAACCATTGTGAAGAGGACCAACAATACAAATTTTTAGCATAATTCTAGCCATTTAAACCCATCCTAAGTAGATTGGTCTAAATTTTTTAAGATATCTATTAGTGACATAATAAATGGTCTTGAGAATGAATTATTAGGTGCAATGCACTCAAGCTTATTTATTGCCAAATGCCTTGGGGATGCCAAGCACAATCATCAATGTCTCAAGGATAGGCTTGAAATAGGTAAGAGGGTAATAAAAGGTCTAGCCTCTAAGAACAATAATATGATTAATGAAGCCAAGTAGATGACTCATTTATATAAAACTATTGAGCAGTCGTTGAAGGATACAGTAGCCATGCATGAGATATTGATGAAGCTAAGTAAGAAGAAAACTAATAGGATTTTGCTAAAGTCCAAAATTGAAGTCTAGAAAACTAAAAGATGTTCTAAGATAGATATTTGCATGTGTTGGGTCTATATTCAAGATTTTGAAAGATAAAATTATTTTTGCTGGAGTAAATTTGAGATTTTGGTTGAAGAATCAACAAAATAATCCCAGAAAAACTTTTAACAATAAGGATGTTAAGTGAAAGCTATTGACTCAAAATATTCTTCATCAAACAAGCAACTTGTTGAAAAGGCTATACAACTAATAAAAAAATCCAACTTGTTGAAAAGAATATATATATATATATATATTTGCATTTTCTAGAATATGAATTAGGATGGTTTACACTATATTTACTTTATTTTGAATTCTTATGGGGGGAATTAGGGGCAGCACTCAAATACGCAATCAACACATGCAAAAACTCGAACTCAAAACCTCTTAATTTGGAGCCAAATTCCCAACCAATAAAACAAAAAATGCAAATAAATTTTTAATAATTTTTTATAAATATTTTTTTAAATTTAACTTTTTAATCTTATTTTATGTCCATTTAACTCAATCATATATAAATAAAAGTAAAGATCTCATAATCATACATTTAAGATATAACCTTGGAATCTTCACATGTTAAAATCCACTCGATCTAGGCTTCGTTTTGGATGATTTTCTTACTGCTATTTATGCATATTTTTTACTACTAAAAAACTGCTTTAAGAAAAAGTAAGAAAGCCGTCCCAAACAAAATCTTAGTTTTTTTGGATTATACACTTCAATGAATGGTAATATTAATCATTCATTTTAAGTGCATAAGATAATATATAAGAAATTTGATTAACAAGTATAGCATAAATATCAAATGATCAATTAAATCATGAACATTTTATTAAATTCTAAGCAACTTACTTACTAAGTAACAAATAGCTACGCTCTAAAAACATAACAGACTAACAGATCAATGCTCAAGTGTTTTTTCTTGGACCGTTCTACTTTGATCGGATTCTACGATACTTACTTGCATTGCATTACGCAGTTCACTTTGTTCCACACCCATCGGATTCGACCAAGCAAAGCAAAGCCCCTTCGAAATTGCATTAGTACAGCACGGTCCCAAGCGAAACCACGACGAACGTCCCTTACTTCAGTTCCATTGCCAATTTGTTCTCCTCCAATAAACCTGTAATGAGCAGAAGAAATGAAGGAATCGCAAAGCACATTTTAAATAACTCCATCTTCGTCTTCTTCTTCCTATTTATTCTGAACCCTGGCCGCTGCCAAGAGCATCTACCACGCCGGCGAGCTCGTTTTTCTCTCACCCTCGCCCTTGGATTAGAACTTGAAATAACGATGAATAGTCAGTATCTCTCCATCTTCTTCCTCATGGTATCCCTCCCCATAGTTACCCACAGCGAAGGCCCTATTCCCAGCATCAGCCTCGAACACCTAGACCCCACCCTCCCCCCAGCCGCCCTAGCAGGCCAAATCCCCAAATGCTCCGTCCTCGTCCTCCAGCAGGAATTCACAGACACCACCGGCTCCCCTCCTGCCTCTGCCAACTACACCCACCCCCGCGAATGCCCATTCCCCTGGACTCGCGTCATCCTCGAACTCTCCGTCTCCGCCTCCGATCTCCAACGCGAACGCATCGCGGCCATTTGGATCGACGGCTCCGAGATCCTCCGCACCATAACCCCTCTCCCAATGGCCCCCGGCGCCTTCTGGACCGTCCGCAAAGACATCTCGCGTTACTCCGCCATTCTCCGCCGCCTTGGCGATCCTTCTTACACCGCTGCTCGCGGCCGCGGTATCATCTCCATGATGCTCGAAAACTCAGATTCCCCCACCCACCTCCCCGGCGTCTACTCCGCCAACGTTTCCCTCCACTTCTACCGCGGCAGCACCACGACCACAGCCGCGGCAGCCGCCGCCCATCCAAATACCCGCTCCCTCTACCACGAGCCCGCCGATATCATCCTCCCGATCTCAAACCCTACCGGCTATCTCGGCTCAAACGGCTTCTGGTTCCGCATCAACAACGAAACCCACATCCAAACGGCCCCATTCGCATTACCAATGAACGCCTACCGCGCCGTTCTTGAAATCTTCGTCTCCTACCACGGAGACGATCAGTTCTGGTACACAAACCCTCTACGCAATTCTTACCTCAACCGCTCCCCCGGCACTAATCTCTCCACCCCCCGCGCAAACGGTGGCCTCCGCCAACTCTATGCCAACATCGACGGCCAGTTCGCCGGCGGCCACATACCTTTCCCAGTTATATACCCCCGCTCTATAAACCCTTTCTTTTGGTCTCCCGTGGCCGCCATTGGAGCCTTCGATATGCCATCTTATGACCTAGACTTAACCCCCTTTCTCGGTCTTCTTCTTGACGGTCGAACCCATGAGATTGGATTGGGGGTTCGAGACGCTCAGGCTTATTGGCTGGTTAGTGCTAATCTGCACGTATGGGTCGACCTCTGGTCCGACGCGGTTCGGGCCGGGCTCGTGCATTATTACGTGCCGCCGCTGAAGGTGAACCGGAACGCCGAGTGGAGGAATTTGGATGGGCAGTCGGAGATAAATGCTGAGGGGCTGTGGCAGTTTACTGGGTGGGTCAGTTCTTCGCGCGGTAATATTACCACTGCGGTGCGCCAAAAGATCAAGTTCAAGAGCCAGATCGAGGTCCAGAACCGCGGAGCTGTGACGCAGGTATATTTTAAGATTTCAATTATTATAAAAAATTCATGATAATAGAGTTTAAATATGAAATTTTGAATAAATTGATGATCAAATTTATAGATAGATTAGAAGAACTAAATAAGATTAAAAAATCACATAATCCTGGCAGGTGGAGGTGAATAATAAAGAGAGGATGATGGTTGAGATGTCCAGAGGGCATCAGACCTTAGGGCGCGCACAAATGCTAGTTGAAGCACCGCTTCAAGTTCAAACAACTAGCGTTAGCGCAGCAGGTGGGTCTGTGTTCCGAAAAGCAAGGCTTTTCCACCAACTTCTCGAATCAGTGGTTCTCAGCGAAGGGCAAGCAATGACGACAAGCACGCTCACTGATCGTCAGGATGCTGAGGGCTCGGCTCTTATGCGTGGTGAAGATCCGGTTTGGGGCAGTGGATCCACGCGATCATCTTATAAATACAGGGATGATAACACATGCTATCTTCGGGCATTGAACACCGCCGGCGGAGTTGTCATGGTCGACACAACTAGTCCTTCATGCGCTGCAGAGGCTTAGATCGAAGGAGAATGATGGGCAAAGAACGTGTTGGTTTGGTTTTGATCTAGTTAGAGTATAATTGGAAGAATAATAGGTTTGGTGTCTTGTGGGATTTGCCGAAAGGATTTTTCCTGGGGTGAGATCGAGCTAGCTGTACGGCTATATCTGAGACAGCTTCATCAATCTATTGTATTTTTTGAGAATTTATTATTATTATTATCATTATTATTATTATTTCACATGTGCTTATGCATGCATTAGAATCCTAATAACAAATATATTATTGATACGGCATCACAAGAATAACTTGATCGGGCACGAATCTCGAGGCAAAAGCTAGTTGGAAACTTCAAAAATTAATTCCGAGAGCACCCGAACTCCGATTTCAGCAAGCTTATAGTCGAACTGAGCGTCTAGAAAATACGAACTCAACGACACCAAATTCGACCCAATTCAAGCCCAAATGGGTCCGAATCATGGACCCGAAGTGCTTTTGGAAGGTTCAAACCACAATTTGAGTTACCAAACGGTCTCCGATTTTGACGAGCTTATACTCGAATCGAACG